AAAAAACATAGGATCAGTCGAATTCCGAGTCACAGTTTGTGGTAAACAAAAAAAAAAGCTTCCGTGAGCCTGTCAAGAGGATGTTGAAGGGCTGTTAGAATCAGGCTAATGAGTTAAGCAAGGCACACAATGTTCCATTTCCATGCTAGAGTACACTGCCGTCCCTATAGACATGTGTACTGTACACACAGGCCACACAGTGTACAGTATACACACGTGTATAAAAATACACACTATGAAAATACTGTCAACAGATAACGATTGGGCTTTGAAACGGGGGGGGGTGATTTGTGAAATTCCTCATCCCTTTAACTACCACAGAGCTGTGACTGTGCACATATTTGTACCTAATTGATTATCACATCTTGAGCCTGTAAGTCCATATCTCTTACTGTACCTGGATCAGTGGATGTGAAGAGAATCAGAGCCAGTACAATTACAACAGCTGTAAAAACATATTTTGACCAAGGAGAAATCTCTTATAACCATACTAGGAAAAGAACATTCCAAAGGAGATTATTTCTGGTCAGTTAAAGAACACTGTATATTTAAATTAGGTAAAGGAGCAAAATAATAAACTCCTTCTTACTTTCTGCTTTGAAACATGACCAACGGGGGGAAAAAGACCCTGGTAATGTAAACACAGTGGGGATTCTAGGCCTCTTACGCAAGCCAGCTCTTACTGCTGCTTAGCCATGACACGCTGGGAAATAAAGTTGTAAAAAAAGAAGTACGATAAATAAATAACTATTATTACTTTGTGCTGTTATGGCGGATGGGGGTCTAGTGTTGAAGGCCCTAGAAGAAAAAAAACATTGTCAGGAGAAGAACACGGTGTTCCCTCTTTCTCCCAGTGTCTGAGGACTACTCTTTAAAAGGACACTACAGTACCACATGGGTCAGAACCACACTAGCCTCAGGGGCACACCATGTAGACAGAGACCCCATAGACATAGTTCAATTGAGGAGCAACTCTACATGCCTTCCCCTGTATGTTGTCCTTGTTATTCCTTGAGATAAACCAGGTCAGGTTTAATTATGGGATGGGGGGGGGATCTTATTTTCAAGGTGTCGTCCACAGGCTTAGAGGGCCAACGTGACTCTGAGCTAGCTGTGCAGCAGGAGAAATATCTAGTGTGCACTGAAGATGTTTGGAGTAATAATATAATAACACAATCCCCTGCCATAAGTCTTAATCATGTCAATCCATTATGCAATGAAAAGTGGCTTTACTATAAGAAAATACCCATTATGTGAGAGTGGATGAGTGTACGTTGATGTGCTACAGTAAGTGCTTAGACGTTTCTGGACTAATTTCATTTTGGTTAGCACGGAGCTTTAAGATATCACATTCCATCCCCATAGTTCACATGTAGAGCAGGTCATTAAGATAATTGATCTGTCACACAGATGCTCGCTTCGAGGCAAGCAACACTGAAGCATGCATGAGAGCACCAGCTGTTCCGGACGACTATGTGATCACGCTCTCCGTAGCCGATGTGAGTAAGACTTTTAAGCAGGTCAACATTCACAAGGCCGCAGGGCCAGACGGATTACCAGGACGTGTACTCCGAGCATGTGCTGACCAACTGGCAAGTGTCTTCACTGACATTTTCAACATGTCCCTGACTGAGTCTGTAATACCAACATGTTTCAAGCAGACCACCATAGTCCCCGTGCCCAAGAACTCTAAGATAACCTGCCTAAATGACTACCGACCCGTGGCACTGACGTCTGTAGCCATGAAGTGCTTTGAAAGACTGGTCATGGCTCACATCAACAGCATAATCCCAGAAACCCTAGACCCACTCCAATTTGCATACCGCCCCAACAGATCCACAGATGATGCAATCTCTATCGCACTCCACACTGCCCTTTCCCACCTGGACAAGAGGAACACCTACGTGAGAATGCTATTCATTGACTACAGCTCAGCATTCAACACCATAGTGCCCTCAAAGCTCATCACTAAGCTAAGGATCCTGGGACTAAACACCTCCCTCTGCAACTGGATCCTGGACTTCCTGACGGGCCGCCCCCAGGTGGTAAGGGTAGGTAACAACACATCTGCCACACTGATCCTCAACACGGGGGCCCCTCAGGGGTGCGTGCTCAGTCCCCTCCTGTACTCTCTGTTCACCCATGACTGCATGGCCAGGCACGACTCCAACACCATCATTAAGTTTGCCGACGACACAACAGTGGTAGGCCTGATCACCGACAACGATGAGACAGCCTATAGGGAGGAGGTCAGAGATCTGGCCGTGTGGTGCCAGGACAACAACCTCTCCCTCAACGTGACCAAGACAAAGGAGATGATTGTGGACTACAGGAAAAAAAAGAGGACTGAGCACGCCCCCATTCTCATCGACGGGGCTGTAGTGGAACAGGTTGAGAGCTTCAAGTTCCTTGGTGTCCACATCACCAACGAACTATCATGGTCCAAACACACCAAGACAGTCGTGAAGAGGGCACGACAAAGCCTATTCCCCCTCAGGAGACTAAAAAGATTTGGCATGGGTCCTCAGATCCTCAAAAAATTATACAGCTGCACCATCGAGAGCATCCTGACTGGTTGCATCACCGCCTGGTATGGCAACTGCTTGGCCTCTGACCGCAAGGCACTACAGAGGGTAGTGCGTACGGCCCAGTACATCACAGGGGCAAAGCTCCCTGCCATCCAGGACCTCTATACCAGGCGGTGTCAGAGGAAGGCCCTCAAAATTGTCAAAGACTCCAGTCACCCTAGTCATAGACTGTTCTCTCTGCTACCGCACGGCAAGCGGTACCGGAGTGCCAAGTCTAGGTCCAAAAGACTTCTCAACAGCTTCTACCCCCAAGCCATAAGACTCCTGAACAGCTAATCATGGCTACCCGGACTATTTGCACTGCCCCCCCACCCCATACTTTTTACGCTGCTGCTACTCTGTTAAGTATTTATGCATAGTCACTTTAACTCTACCCACATGTACATATTACCTCAACTACCTCAACTAGCCGGTGCCCCCGCACATTGACTATGCAACGGTACCCCCCTGTATATATAGCCTCCCTACTGTCACTTTATTCTATTGTATATATAGCCTCCCTACTGTCACTTTATTTTTACTTCTGCTCTTTTTTTCTCAACACTTTTTTGTTGTTGTTTTATTCTTACTTTTTTGTTTAAAATAAATGCACTGTTGGTTAAGGGCTGTAAGTAAGCATTTCACTGTAATGTTTGCACCTGTTGTATTCGGCGCATGTGACCAATAAACATTTGATTTGATTTGATTTGACGTTTTAGCTGATGTTATTAAGACCTTTTTACACATACCGGATTCTGGTCGGACAAATAAAGTTTCCTTCCTTTGACAGCTAGTTTTGAAGAACAGAGCACTGTGTAATAAATCACATTTACCTTACTAGAATGATTAGAATAATAAGCTTTTGCAGTGAGAATGTTTGGCTGCTTGACCAGTGGTCACTCCAGTCCAATAGCGCCCTCATGTGGACTCCTGAGAAACTACAGATACTGATGATAAAAACCATACCTGCACTACACTCAGTAACCACCAGAGAGTGCCCTTGGCTTGGTTTTAGTCATCCCGGTATTCATATAGACAAGTTTTAGTTTTAGCACATGCTTAGAACTTGATGTTTGTGAACGTAAATTGAAAGCATGCATAATGCAATAACTGTTTGCCATACTACACCAAAACAAGTATTGGAAGTGAATGTAAAAAAATTAATTGTAAAAAATGTGGTGCTAGCATTCAATTAATTATTATCCACTTATTGGCATCTTACCCCCTTCAAACACCCAAAACTAATGTACTTGATTGGTTAGCTGCTCACTTGAAACCTATGACCCTCCACCAATCCCAGCCAGAAGAATTGTAATACGTGTTTGTTTAACCAGCTCTTTCCTCTTTAATGACAAACACATACAGACAGATTCTCAATGCAACTACAGATTTAGTTGATGTCTCACAATTATGACAATAGACTGATCCCCTTCACATAATCCTGTTGTGTGGTCTGACCTTCCCTCTCACCGGCCTACACAGTCAGTGTAAACATTTACAGAAAATTAACTAACAGGTGTGGAACAAAGACCAATCAACACACAATGACCGATAATCTTACAGTCATGGATTATCACAGAAAATCCAACTACTTTCCGCACCATTTAAATACTCCACACTAATATGATGACATGTGACAGACAGGTTGCCCATAGTTCACTGCATATCACAGATACGTAGTCGAAAACAAAGCAGTCAGTATATAACGCAGGTCAAAACAGCAGGACGTGTGTCAAGATCAACTCGTACATAAGATTCAATTCACTGCATCGCATAGAGAAGAAACTGCTATCATGATGAGTCGTTGTATGGTAGAATTCATTCCCTTTAGACCTTTTAACAGTAGAGGTCTGATTTTATGTGCTTCAGAGAATGAGTGTGTGAAAATGTTTTCAATGTGTAAATGTGTATTAATACGAGCAGCGATGTGAGAGGGAGATATTGGTAAGGACAAGGGACAACTAAAAACAAACAAACACACTTAAAAGACCTTGAGTAGTCTCCTTTACTGGATCTGAGCCTGGTGCCATTTTCTCTCATTTTCAATGGACATCTACTGTATCAATGACAATCTGCAGAATGACTCAATTTAGACTACCAGAAAGCTAGTCCTTGTTTACAATGATCAGACGTGCAATTCTCACAATGAGGTTTAAAACACACAATTGGACAGGTTTCACAACGAAAAAACACATTAAATAATTGATCGAATAAACAAACAAAACAATCGCGGAAATACAGATTTTCAGAAATAGCTATTTTACCCAAGATCCTGACCAGTGAGCTCAGTGACAATCACATGGGTTCCTGTAGCAATGCCCAGGATGGGTGGGGTCTAACTCACACCAACATCACTACTCAATACCACATTGGCTGTCAAGCGGAACAGAATGAGGTTATAGGAGCAGGACTCAGTGGTCAGTGCAGTGTTCAGTCTTCAAACCTTCCCTCCAGAATGCTTTCAAAGGTGAACGGGAGGAACTTGAAGCCCTGGCCTACATAGAACTTATTCTGGAATTCCACCCTGAAGAGAACAAGAGAGAGGCAACATTTAACGTCAGGCTTATTACAATAAGTAAATCAATCAATGCAAAGATCAATGCTACACAGACATACTAGTCTAGCACCATCAACGGTTATACAAAAATATTTTGGAAGTTAGTCTGAGGAGTTCCTTTAAACTGGAGTTTCTTTGAGGTGTGTCGATGTTAGGCCAGAGGCTGCAGTATTGGTAACCCTTAATGATTGTATCAAGCCAAAGCCAGTTGGATGACCTTTCAACTGAGGAAGCAGACATGCTTGTCATTCCTCCCTACGTCTGGAGGAGGTAGATTTTCATCTGGGTAGGCGCTATAATATTTCACTAGAATACGCTTAGTGGAAAAGGTCAAACTTAGTCAACTAGCACTACTTTCCTTTAGAACATTTATGGCAACAAAGAAAAAGAGATATTCTTTGGTGTTTCTATGAATCTGAGATCGTAATTGCTCCCTGGACTGAAAACTGATTTACAGTGAGCTCCAATAGTATTGGGACAGTGACAAATGTTTTGGCTCTGTACTCCAGCACTTTGGACTTGAGATGATACCGCCCCAAAAATGCTAACCTCCACTGTTATTGTAATGGTGAGAGGTTAGCATGTCTTGAGGGTATGATATTTGTGAGTAACTTTCTCGATCATCATTATTCACGATTAATTCAGGATTATCCATAATCATGGTATTAATGTAGTGTTTAGAAACATTCTATTCTTAATTACAATAAAAGTGACTCCAAAATGGCACAATACAGTGGGAAAAAAAAGTATTTAGTCAGCCACCAATTGTGCAAGTTCTCCCACTTAAAAAGATGAGAGGCCTGTAATTTTCATCATAGGTACACGTCAACTATGACAGACAATCCAGAAAATCACATTGTACGTTTGACCTGTGTCATTGTCAACAAAGGGTATATAACAAAGTATTGAGAAACTTTTGTTATTGACCAAATACTTATTTTCCACCATAATTTGCAAATAAATTCATAAAAAATCCTACAATGTGATTTTCTGGAGAAATTTTTTTTTTCTCATTTTGTCTGTCATAGTTGATGTGTACCTATGATGAAAATTACAGGCCTCTCTCATCTTTTTAAGTGGGAGAACTTGCACAATTGGTGGCTGACTAAATACTTTTTTTCCCCACTGTACATTATTTACTATTCATTTCTATTGGGCACAAAATAATCTGCAACCAAAAAAAACAGCAAATGCATCCAACAAGTTTGTAGGAATATGGGACCAAATAAACTTTTGACTACTTTAATACAAGTGAATTTGTCCCCTAAAATGGGGGGACTATGTACAAAAAGTGCTGTAATTTCTCAAACGGTTCACCCGAGATGGATGAAAATACCCTTAAATTAAAGCTGACATATTGCACTTTAACCTCAGTCATTGTATCATTTCAAATCCAAAGTGCTGGAGTACAGAGGCAGTTTTTGTTTGAAGTTAAAATGTCAGCATCTAAAATAGAACAAGAAGTGTTTAAGGGGTGACTCCTCTCTCAGCTACTGGAGGAATCTCTCTGGCTGGATCAAATGATGGTTTCGGAATAGGAGTGAGTATGTATGCATGTTGGCCACAGCCTCAGCTAGATCAACATTTACTATTGCTATAAATTTGACAGATGTCTGACATTACTTTGGCAGTTCACAATCACATTTACAACTGTGTTAGTTAGCAACCGCTAAGAAAAATACATTAAACACTGAAAAAAAAAAAAGCTCAGATTCAGAAGGCCTCATTTCCTATTTGTCCTTCCCTAAGGGCCTTTAGGTGAGAGTGGAGCATTAGAATTCCTATGTGCTGGGTAAATACAGTGATTAGTCTATGTCACTGACTCAGTGCTGTGCTTTGTGAGGGTGCCAGTGGATGATCAGTTCCAGTTCAACCGGGCTGTTCTGAGACGCCAGATAGGGAGCCTGTCCCCTAATGATGGGACAACAGAAGTTTCCTCCATGATGGCCAGCCAGCATCTCACACACAGTAGTCAATGCTCCATTGCTCTATGGGATGCAGAGAGATTCCAGGTTCATGGCCAGGAAAGAGAGCTGGTGGTGGGAGCTGGAAAACCACAGCTCCCATTAGCACCAGTCTGTTTAATACCAGTGGGATGGAGACACACGCTCTGTTCTCCATACACACACACACACACACACACACTCAGACGAGGCCCCAAGGAACTACAGAGCTAAAACAGCTGTTACCATAGATACCAGCAGGGGGCGCTACAGGGCTGTGTCACTCCACCATGCCCCCTGACAGAGGAAACTCTTGAAGACATGCTCCTTCCTTTACCCAAGTCAATGAGGAATCCAGACTAGCAGAAGATGGAGCCCTCCACAGCTTACAGTGGCTGTTAAGTGCAGAGAAGGTTCTAGAAACCTTAGTTTGAGTCGGAGCCAACAGGTCGTCGAGGATTTCAACACATCCTTAATACAGACACGGAGCAATGCAGCAAGGATTCTATTCATACATACTCATCAGTGTTAACTGATAACATGGGAGCATATATGAGTGACTCACAGTACAGACTGAACAAACATGTTATGTTGTCTATGTGCAAGAGAGAGCAGTGTGTCTCTCACCAATGCAGACGCAGTGCGTGCAGGAAGGCAGACAGGCCCTCCATGATGAGCAGGATGCAGACAGTGAGGACGGCGAAGGCCCCGAAGATGATGGACAGGGCAACGAAACCCCCAAAGCTCCTGGAGGACAGGCCAATGTGCATCACCATGGTCCACAGCACCTCTGACAGCTCTGTGGGATCACACAGAGGAAGAAGGAAAACAGATGTTTTATTGGAACATTTCAAAGAGAAACCAAAAAGGGTGAAGACAGTATGTCTCAGAGAGAGCGCGCAAGAGAGAGAGGAGAGCGTGAGAGAGAGGTTTATGTACTTGCTATGTACTGTGTGTGTGTGACTCACGTGCGTGTGCCAGGCTGAGAGCCCATAGGCGTAGGTAGGAAGCGGTGTTGGAGATGCAGCCCAGACAATACTCGATGGTGTGGATGGCCTGGTGCACAGCAACGTCCCCAAAGTTAAACTGGAGGACGGAGAGAGAACACACACCGGTATGAACCCCTAGGTGACAGGGACACAACAGTACAGGGACCGGGAGACTCCGGTCCAAATGAGGTCCTCCATCTACAGTTAAGTTCATGGCTAAACGGTACCACATTGAGGAAGACATTCACTAGATTAAAACAGCTCCAGAAACACCAGCCTGACCCACTAGTCAGATCTCTGTAGCAGAAGTTTCCCAAGAAGCTCCTTCATTACGCCCCATGAACCAGACAAATTAGGATCGGGGTAGACAGTGAGCACTACTAGTCTAAGAGTGTGGCCCAGTTTCCTGCTGTGTGATAGAAGAATCCCTTGAACACCCAGAGACAGCAAAAACACACAGACACCAGAGTCAACAGCCTCAGGGGACAGAACACACACACAAGCAGAGCCTCAGAGACAGAGACAGACTAGCAAGACATGCACTTGGGGTGAGGGGAGGGGGGATGAGTGCTGGCTTACCACTTCCTCCTCGGGGGCCTTGAAAACAATTGACAACAGGTTAGGTTTTAGTTAGTGACATGTGACAGGACACACAACAGAACACAGTGATGAGAGAAACAGGAGAAAACAACATTGAACACAGGAAATGGACGTGTATAATATACAGAAGGTGGTTAGGTGTTGCAGTCGTCACAGGCACTGGATCGAAACTACTGACAAAGTTTCTTAAGGGGCTGCATAAAAACATTATGGCACTGGTATCTAGGTGATGCATAGCCATTCCTCCAAAATCATGCATTTGTGCATGCTTAGTATTTCGTGACAACATTCTACTGTGACATTTCCAGATATATCTCCTATAGGCCTTTGGTCTTTGGCATATTGTTGTTGTGTTTGTGTCTGTGGTTGCTAGGGGGAGACAGTGATGGGGAATGTAGTGACCAATGGGGTTGGTGACCCACTTCTGACAGTGACAGCAGGTGGGACTGGCCTGTTTGGGTTATACCCTGCTCAGCCATTCAGGGGGGCTGGTTCGGGCAAAGCTAACTAAAGCTTAAACCTAGTTAACGGTAGTATAGCTATTTACCATATCTAAGACCAAAGAAGATGGTATTTCCCCATTTAACACAAATTAATGAATTAAGTTGTCGTTGAGGATTAACATGGTAAGCATAATTTGGATACTTGACCAGATGACCGGAGTAGTTTATACGCAGGAATTCTGTAAAGGTGGCCTGTTAAAATGAGTTGCCCCATGTTAAAACAGAAATGCTATATTTACTGTGTTAGTTACTTAGCACCCTGCCTGCCTGAACACCTGCTGGCCAGAGGGAGGAGCTGCACAACTCCAAACACACATAACATACACGCACAGTTTGGTCAGTGAACTGGAAACACACTATGCAATTAATAAATGGCTTGAAGCGGATTGCATGGTGATACATGCAACCACTCCAATCCATTCACTGAATGCCTTTTGTTAATGAGCCAGAGCTCGCATTATCAACATGCGATATCACACGGCTCTAAAGCATCTTGGAAATGAATACAACATACTAGAATTAAAAGATTTGTTTCAGCACAGCCATGTCCACTGAATCATGTAGAGATCTCTTCTAGTCCAAGGCCATAGAGTTTATAGTGACATGGACTGTGGAGTCTAACATTGCTAAATAAAGTAATCTCCAATCAAATTAAATTCCTCTCCACTTCAAAGGTCAAAAATTATAGGAGAGGAATCGGTGTGAAGTGCTTTGAAAGCTGCTCTATAAATCAACAAAAGGTCCTGGGTGTCCGGAACCATAAAAGAGCAAGCTCCATCTGTAAACCTCAATCACTGCTTCCTGTTGGCTTGTTATGAGAGCTACAGAAACCACAACAAACTGACGGCTTGTCTGGTTTGAGGTTCACAGGAGCCTGTTGTATTGTTTCACGTTTATCAGAAACTACTGAAAAGGTGAGGGAGAGAACACCGAACAATCCCACAGACAGTAAACAGTCACACTGAATCAACTCTAAAACTACTCTGAAATCTCAACTACATTTTTAAAGTTGCTTTTCAGGCATTACAATAATGCACATGTTGAGTAATAAGAGCTGCTGGATTAGCTTTGTGGTCAGTTTCATTTGCTCCTACCAGATCCCACTTCTATAATGAATACGTATTCTATGCTGTTGTTAGTGAAGCAGGGAATATGAGAGCTCTGGTAACGTAAAGTCCATGGGTTGGGTTTCTATATGTGGCTGATGACTTCATTATTCAAGGTTATTCCATCTGGGCTAGGTCTGGATCATATTGCCTACAGCAGTGTCCAATGGATTCCGATATTAAGTCTTGGGCCAACATTATAATAGACTACTCTGGTCACGTATATAGTATATGCTAGGCCAATAGAGTGGAGGGTGGGGGTATCCTGGTTTCTCACCTCATGCTCGTCATTCTCTGAGTGCTGGGAGAGCTGGTCATGCTGGATGATCTCAGCCTCGTCCTCCGTGGGGCCGTTCCCCACCCGAATCCCCCCAAAGTTCTGGGTGCCCTGGAGGAACAGACAAGAGGAGGACAGGGGTTATTGTTGGGGGTCACAAACTCTACACTCTAGATCCCAATGGAACAAAATCTGTGTAGGAGGGCAGATGTTATTACAGTACCAAGTTCTTCTGCCAGAGGTGCTGTCGCCGCATAACCAGGGTTTTCACTATCAACATACAGGGAACACACGCCAGGGCTATCAACACCAGCAACGTCTGAATAACCCTCTATAGAGGGGAAGGACATGAGAAAGAGGGATGTTAGATGGGTATGGGGCTTCACACATAATCCCACCATAAAATGGCTTGCTCAATAAATGGACAGATGAAAGAATGGATGGATGTAATGATCACCTGTCCTCTGTAGAGGGGTTGGTTGGTGGGGTCTTTATAGTTGAACAGGAACATGTTGATGAAGGCGATGAGAAGACTGGGAGCATTTCTGGAGGTGCGAGCGTCGTAGGCCACCCACTTATAGAAGACCAGGATGACCAGGTACCCAAACAGACTGGCCATGAACACAATCTCAGGGATGAAGCCCAGGTAGATGTTCAGGGGTTTCTTGAAATACCTTCAGAAAAGAACAAGACAGGAAATAAACTGTCAGGGTTCCTTAAAGTTACAGTGTGGGATAAAACTTTTTTTTTTTTTTTTAAAGAGCCCCACCACTTGTTTTGGTAGACAGCAGAGGGATAAGGCTGGGGAAATGTAAACCCTTTGAAATGCATAGACAGTGCTCTATATGCAAGGACTGTAGCTTTAACTTAAATGAGGTGAAACAACATAGGTTAAGCGTGACTCACACGTGGTTGAAGAGACTGAGAGACACTCCAAAAAGCATGTGGATGACACCCAGGATCACTGACATCTTCATCTTGAAGGAGTTGAGGAAGGTCAGCTTGTTGGTGGCGATGTTCCAGATCTGAAGAACACAGTCAAACATAGTTAAAACAATGAAATCAGAATAATGATAAAATGTAACCCATTACATTGATCAAAATAACACTTTTTTTAGCTCACTATCCATCTTTATTGTTTTCACAGGGACTATCTGAGTACTCACTGGATCAATGCCAATGGGGTAAGGTCCATTGAAGACTCCTCTTACTGCGGGGTCCAACTGTAAAACCTTGTTTTCATCAAGTGTCTGAAACCTGAGAACGTCAAACATGGCATGAATCATCACTTTACAGAGGCCACTGCCAACAAGGTACAGTAGGTAAACTAATCCAATCCACAGACAGTATGAGCCAGGCAGAGAGGGATACTTACGACCAGGTGAGGTTGTTAGCGCGGGGGTCGAACATGGGCCTGACGCTCCAGCCAGAGCCAAACAGGTTGAGGGACTTGGAGAAGCAGTCATTGTAGATGATGCCGGTGTAGATCGAGAAGATGCCCATCAGTAGGATGATGTAGCGCCCAGCAAACACCATGCTGAACATCTACACACAGACAGGAAGTGACACATTACAATGTTTGATTCTAACACCATGTTGAATATCTACACCCGCAGACAGGAAGTGACACGAACATTGTAGAACGTTGCAGACAGAAAATCCACAAATAGAGCCGACGTGATTCCTTATTCTACATGTCAGAGAGGCATGTTTGTTCTACATAGCATATTTCTATCTGTATGTTGCACTCATGTTGAACATCCACACACAGACCGGAAGCTCAGCGTTCAACACCATAGTGCCCTCAAAGCTCATCACTAAGCTAAGGATCCTGGGACTAAACACCTCCCTCTGCAACTGGATACTGGACTTCCTGACGGGCCGCCCCCAGGTGGTAAGGGTAGGTAACAACACATCTGCCACGCTGATCCTCAACACGGGGGCCCCTCAGGGGTGCGTGCTCAGTCCCCTCCTGTACTCCCTGTTCACCCATGACTGCATGGCCAGGCACAACTCCAACACCATCATTAAGTTTGCCGACGACAACGATGAGACAGCCTATAGGGAGGAGGTCAGAGACCTGGCCGTGTGGTGCCAGGATAACAACCTCTCCCTCAATGTGACCAAGACAAAGGAGATGATTGTGGACTACAGGAAAAAAAAAGAGGACTGAGCACACCCCCATTCTCATCGACGGGGCTGTAGTGGAACAGCTTCAAGTTCCTTGGTGTCCACTTCACCAACGAACTATCATGGTCCAAACACACCAAGACAGTCGTGAAGAGGGCACGACAAAGCCTATTCCCCTCCACAGGAGACTGAAAAGATTTGGCATGGGTCCACAGATCCTCAAAAAGTTATACAGCTGCACCATCGAGAGCATCCTGACTGGTTGCATCACCGCCTGGTATGGCAACTGCTCGGCCTCCGGCCGCAAGGCACTACAGAGGGTAGTGCGTACGTGCCAGTACATCACTGGGGCCAAGCTTCCTGCCATCCAGGACCTCTATACCAGGCGGTGTCAGAGGAAGGCCCTCAAAATTGTCAAAGACTCCAGCCACCCTAGTCATAGACTGTTCTCTCTGCTACTGCACGGCAAGCGGTACCGGAGCGCCAAGTCTAGGTCCAAAAGGCTTCTCAACAGCTTCTACCCCCAAACCACAAGACTCCTGAACAGCTAATCATGGCTACCCGGACTATTTGCACCACCACACCATCTTTTTACGCTGCTGCTACTCTGTTAATTATTTATGCATAGTCACTTTAACTCTACCCACATTTACATATTACCTCAACTACCCGGTGCCCCCGCACATTGACTCTGCACCAGTACCCCCCTGTATATAGCCTCCCTACTGTTATTTTATTTTACTTCTGCTCTTTTTTTCTCAACACTTTTTTGTTGTTGTTTTATTTTACTTTTTTATTAAGAAATAAATGCATTGTTGATTAAGGGCTGTAAGTAAGCATTTCACGGTAATGTCTACACCTGTTGTATTTGGCGCATGTGGCAAATAAAATTTGATTTGATACGTTACACTGTTAGAATCTCAGGACAAAAATACAAATGTTTCTGGTCTCAGTTACATTTTGTTTTAGCCATAAAGAGGATTTGGTTATTTATTCACACTCCAAAAGCATCAACTTGAAACAAACTGGCCATCATGATGCCACTACAGTGTTAGGGCCATAGTAGAGATAATCTGTCTAAAGCGGAGAGGTAACCAAGCCCATTTAGTCACCAGTAATGGCGCTAGAGGCTGGATAGGGGGTGAGGGATGAAGCTGGTGGGTTGATGGCAGGGGTAGTGACGGCCATACCTCGTTGTCGTTCTTCTGGGCGACCAGGCGGCTCTCTCTCAGGACCAGGTAGAGGGCAGCGCAGGTCATGAGCACCCCATGGCCCAGGTCCCCAAACATGACAGCGAATAGGAAGGGGAAGGTGATGATGGTATATGGGGCTGGGGACAGGGAGGGAGGGACTCATGAGCATACACATGGAGGAATGGGAGACTGAACCAACCCAAGCTCACACTGACACACGTACCAATGATACACAATACAGCATGATCAACAGTGATGGGGTGATAATGGGGGAAATAGACTTGGCACCGGGGGTGAACATTTATCACCTGCTTTGGCGCAGTGATCTAGCCAGCTGGATACATTATGTGAGTTATGAGATCCCTAGAAAATAAAGTCTGCTGCCTAGTGAGGTACATGAAACAATACCTTTTATCTGAACAATAGGCAGTTAAATTATAAAAGGGGAATGAAGGATGGAGCGAGAGGAGGTTGATTGTGTCAGACATGGTTACCTGGGTTAATCTCACGGTAGTTGCCGATACCGTAGGCGTCTACGATGTTCTGGAAGCCCGAGGTGAACTTGTTGGTCTTGTTGAAGGTGGGCGGGGTCTGCTTGGTCTGCATCCTGTTGAGGATGGAGGGGACGGTGGAACCGCTCTTCTCCTGGAGACCAAGACAGAAAAACGGTCAGAGAATGGTCAGGAGGACCACAACACCACCACTCAGTTTACCTCGACTCCCTGTAAAAGTTCAGCCCTACAAGGCATTGAGAACAGCAGGAGTTGCCCAGCTAGCTCAATCTCCCATGAACATGTCTAATAAAGGGATATTGCGTTGTTCCAGCCGGAGTCCGACTGTCAGATGGCCTGGAATCTCCTCAGCACTCAGGAATGAGAGGAATCCTCCTGCTTTCCCCATTAGTCTGTAGACTGGGCACTGGGACCTTCCATACCTCCATCACTCACACAGATCTGCAACATCTTCAATAAATCAGATTAATATGACAGATGCATTTCCACAGCTGGTTTGGCGATGAATCTATCACACTACATGTATCATCTGATCTCCCACACCTGCTGTGAGTGAAGGACAACAGCTTGTCCAAGGGATGCTTTGATGGCTGAGATAGAAGCAGAATCGTTGTGTGTTTTAAGGGCAGTATGTCCTTGTGTTTCTCAACAAGACGTGTGGGGTAAAAATAGCCTGGTGGGATAAATGCAGCATGGAGAGTGAATGCTGTGCGTGACAGGGTTAAGCCCTTACTGGCATGAACAGGACAGGACAGGTCGACAGGACAGGACAGGACGACAGAACAGGACGACAGAACAGGACGACAGAACAGGACAGGACGACAGGACAGGATGACAGGACAGGACCAGGAGTGTGTGTGCCTATGTCTGTTTGTGTGTGTTCCTACTTCCTATGTCTGTGCAAGCCTCCCTCTGAGGGAGAGAGTGGCAAACAGACCAAGGTAAAAAAGGGAAGACATTCATTCCTTCCAAGCCCCTCATAATTGTTTGAATCCGCTCCATTCCAACCACCCCTCTAATGCCCGACCTCCCTGGTGTACCACAGCATGACATCCTGATACCGCTGGAATCTGGCCTCCTAATAGGTGTAAAATCCTCACATATCCAGCACTCACGCAGTGCCTCTCCTCGCCCTGTTAGCACTGTCTCTCAGTCTGGATCTGTTACGTCTTAACGCCCTAGCAGAGTCTAGGCATAATGACCTCACAGCTGGGTTAAGAGGTGACTACGAGGCTCACTGGTTCTTAATGCTACTGTGTTTCTATCAATGAACTTGACCTAAACAGTCTCATAGAAATGTTCCCATTAAATAGATATGGAATGTATAGTCCCTAAGGATGCATCCCAAATGGCACCCATTCCCACTATTTTTGACCAGAACCCTATGGACTCTAAAGGTAATAGGGCACCATTTGGGATGCAACTTAAAACTTCACGTAGGATTTCATGTACCTCCATGCCTCTAGTCTAGACAGGTGTCCACTCAACTCACCGTGCCTCTGCGCAGGGCGAACTGGATTGAGTCCATGTCTGATACGGGGCACCACACCTCGGCGATCAGACACTTCTGGGTGACATCGATGTTGCACAGGTTCAGGGTGTGGTAGATGGCCTTCATCTTCCTCACCTTGATGAACCACACCCTGACGGTCTTGGCTGCAGCCTGCAGCACCCGCTGTCTGTGGTCCTCCGTCTGGTTCAGCACCTGGAGATGGGAGGGAGATTAGGGTTCGAGCTGAGGTAATCGATGAAGACGAGATATGACTAGGATGCTACTGTAGTTGAAACCTTGTGTGGCTGGGTACAGAATATATCCCACTGTGCAACTAGCTAAGGTGCAAGGTGCTCTGTCCTAGACAGTCTACCGACTGTTCATGTGACTTTCTGACAAAGTTTGCAGGCAGTTCTCAATTGACACATTCGCACTCTGAGCATTTAAAGTGATGTCTAACTTAAATCGACCTCAATTGGAAAACTAACACATACAGGCCTAAATGTAGGCCAGGACCAGAAACTGTGGCATCAGGACAATCCTCTGGCAGTTTCCACTCAACACTATAACTGTGTGGGGAGTGGCATTGAACTGTAAATGCTGTTGCAATGAATCATGTTTTCCTTCTTATTTGTGGAGATGGTTCATATTAATAGAAGGCTTTGCTGGGCAGTGTGCACTGTGTGATCAAGTTTGATAAGGGGTTATATCTGACCCAGGATAGCAGGGTTTCCCGTAAGAGCCGGCGGAGGCGTTCTCAGGTATGCAGCACTGACTCATATCAAGTTGTCTTATGATCAACGGATTGCTAACATGCCGCTACCCTACACCCACACACACTCTTGCCCACGTTGTCGAGACCCTCTCACGCCCACACACTCTGTTCACTCCCAAACTAGCGGGCCGGGCATTACCCCTCCACCCTCACCCTTCTCTCTTGTCGACAACAATCCCGCCCCCGTAGCGACAGGCATAACAGTGGCCCCTCAAACAGCGAGGCAAGCAGTCCCAGGCACTTACTGGCAATGCGAGGATGTTAACATTTCTGGCAGACAGGAGGCCTGCCAAACATAATGTCCAGACTGGGGGCTGTGACTGATCCTGAGCCACAGAGATCCTAAACACACACACACCACTGACTGTCTGTCTACCATAGAAAAGTGGCATGTTGAGTGACTCATTTTTTAAAACTTCAAGCTAAGCCGAGAATGTGAGTAGTAAATGTGGTCATTATGTGAGTGTGGGTGGAGTGGGTGAGAGAGTGGGTGGCTAATCAGCTGAACTCTGTGTAAACCACCCTGATGATCAACTGGTTTCCTATATGGTGAGGCGAATGAGTGAGGGTTCCTCCGAGCCAAACAAGGAAAGGATGCCTCTTATCCATCCAAGTGTAAACAGTCTACACCACCAGACTACGTAGGGCTTTGGAGCAGAACAGTACAACACAATAACAGAAGTGGGTATTCCCAGAGGGAGTATAGGGTTTCTCTTAGTATAGGGATGGTGTTGCTCCATACAGTGCTGCTGTTCCATGGTAGGCTAAACTACAGTTCTGTCTGTGAGGACTGGACTTCTAAAGATCACAGCTCACATGTTGCTCAACAGCTGCAAAAGCCAGAAAACACTGAGACAGGCATTGTTCCTGGGTCACCAGACACGGTTGGCACAAAGAGACAGGGTGTTACACACTGGATTATAATACCAAAGAGGTGCTCTGTGTGTGTGTGTGTGTGTGTGTGTGTTTGTTTTGGGATTGGCCTTCACTCCCAGTCCCGTGCCTGTTTTTGCCACCGTTTTAGAGCGGTGAGTCACTGTGCCAGGTTTAGAGGTGCTCTCCCAAAGCCAGGCCAGTGTGTGTGGGCGGGAGAGTTTATCCACTAACATCACACCGGTGCCTCCATCACCAGCGCCTGGCACAAACTGGCAGGGGCAGATCCATTTCAGCCACCTCATGGGCCTGGCACGGCACAGATGACAACCGTTTCTGACCGCTCCTTGTAGCTTTTCACACCCAGCTCCACCCAGCCCATTCATGCTGACGCCCACTACCGCCAAAGAGATGAAGTGAGACAGACACTCTGAAGCCAGAACGTTTGAGATGATATGAGCACTGCAGACACAAACAGAAGTTCACTCAATTTGAAGGCCTCCCTAATGTGATCAGCAAACATCTCATCTCCTCTGTGGTCTTGTGTAATAAACGATCTATTACGGCAAACACTGCTGGGTGAACTAATCTAGTGTCAGTCTTTCCGTCCACTTCATCATAATTTGGCTGAGGGCTTAGTACAGAGGAAATAGCAGTGGTAGAAAGTGGAACTGAAATTTCCGTGGAGATTGCATCAGCAAAACGCAGAGCAAGAAACCTGACTATGCAAACGTCTAACTTTAGCAGAAAAAAGGTAAATAAAGATCCATCCAAAAAGCAGGTCAAAAGGTGAGACTAATCTCATGTTCAACAATAGAAAAAAGGTCACTGTTCTACCTTCAGAATGGTAGACTAAAACCGCCTTTGAATTAGCCACATGCGGTCACATACCACTCCCCTCCCCACCACCACAGCCTCCGGCAGCTGAGTATACAGTTACAGAGAAAACAGAACACTGATCAGAAGCCATGATAGAGCCCAGATCAAGTTCACAATGAAAACAGATATGAAAGAGATATTGAAAGACTAACCCATATGAAAACAGGGTGATTTCTCAGGAAAACTGTAAGGATCTGTTAGATTTAATGAATGTAACAAGCCATTATATAATGTAAATATCTGTTAGTTTTGTCTGGCTGACTGTGTGGGTGGACTCCCTGTGTTACAACAGGCCAGGCAGGTCGTACCATCTGCAGGTCATCGATACGGGTGGCCACCCCTGCAGCCATCTCCTTCCTCTCCTGGGGGGTCTCTGGACATGGGTACAGTGACGCTCGGAACCTGAGGGGTGAAGGAGAGAGGGGTTGATCAATTAAGGAGAATGTCTTAACAAAACCAATTCCAACATTCCTCTGTCTAGATTGGTTAGTGTTCCTTGAATTTGTCAACCAATCACTGCCCCTTACCCTTCACATATCTTCCTGACCCGAGTCTTCAGCTGATCTCCTTGGAAGAATATGATGAACACAGACTTATAGACCTGGTCACCCTGTAGAGGAAACATCAACATGAGTTAAGTGAAGAGGAGACAAAATATTGCCTGATAGTGATACTTCTGCTCTATCATAAAGGGTATGGATGAGGAAGCATGAATAAGGACATCAATGCCACTCATATGACAATCACGCAATGACACCAAGCAGTCATGGTACAACAGTACACCACAGAATACGTCACAAAATCCTGCATAGTTTTTGTTCCCCTAAGCCCTCCAATTTATTATACTAGTATCAGTGAATAGTTACTGACCGTGGCAGGGTCCTCCAGTGAGTCTTCAATGTCTGCCTGCCTCAGGAACACGTTACCACGGCAAACCCTCCACAGCATCCTCTCAAACGTAGGGATGCGCTCCCTGCCGATCACCCCGGCAACAAACCTACAGGAGGACGATAAGGCATGGATCAGCATTTACAGTAGATTTGCTACGAAATGTATATCCCTCATCTCAACCTTACTTCAAAATAAGGTGTTTGATATTTGCAATGAGTTCGGTCCCTAAATGGCAGCTCAACTTGGAGCTGATCCAAGATCAGTGCTTATGGCAACGGCCTGACAGAATGTACCCCGGGCACATTGATTTTGTTTGTTCACACTGGTGATGGGAGCACTGCTGATGAAAACATCCTCTCTGAATAGTGGGGGACATAGGAATGGGAGCTGAGGGCATAGGGGCAAAGGAGGCGCATCAAACATAGACAGACTTCAGATGGGAAGCCCTAGGGCCCCATCCGTACATAGCAATCCATTACCAAATGAGTTCCAAGCTCTGCCACCCAACCACAATATTAAGCTATTTTAGTTACGGTTTTCTGATATTGTGAATTTTTCCCCGATTTGCTTACTTCTTTTGCTGTGTCTTTATAATGACATTTAATCACATATTTTCTTCGTCTCTGTCTGCAAATAGATTACAACCTTTGAAGTCCCCCTTCTAGACTGTATTTGTGTCCATGTATCCATTTTGTGTTGCTGGTGTTTGCATGCTCTGTAAACTGCTTATCATCACCATTTATGTCCATCTGCTCACACTCTCTGTCCACAGAACCCTGATAAACAGAGAGCTACATCGTACTGTCAAGCAACAAGCTAGAGTGGTAGCACCTGTAGTAGTAGTACTGGCTTCTTACCAACCATTAAAAGTAATTAGGAAACAATTGGCCACCGATACTGACAGAGCATGTGGGCTGTCAGCTTAGGGACTAAGTACACACAAAGACACAGCACCGCCACACACACTCCGTCAAGTGACCTTAGTTGGCCGACTAATCTGACAGCCTGAGCTTGTGTGGGCGAAACCATTGGTTAGGTGTTACACTGACTCCACCTCCAGGAAGGAACAGATGGTTTAATGTAATGGCGGTCCTTTTATTGACCTTTAAGTCTGGAGGAGATGGCTAATCCATCCTTAATAGAGTGGACCAAGGACTCAGACTCACCCCAGTCTGAGAGGAGCACGGGTCCCTGCTTCAGCAGGATCCATCAGGGTAGATGACTCCTCCAGCAGGTTGGGCTCCTCCATCTGCAGCGGGGTGGAGAGAATGACAACCATTACATTTTGACCAAGATATTTTCAGGCAATTAGACGTGTGATAACACATTTAGAAATGCAGCCCTGTTTTCAGGAACAACTGCCTAGCTTTGTTGTTGGGGGAACTATTTACAACCTGGGAAGGTTTGACGGTTCAGTGGCTTGAGCTCTGGGCAGGATGATATATTGAACAAAACACGCCAGGCTAGTGAGATGGTCTTCATAAAACATAGTAAACAGCTAGTTGGTGTTTATATGAACAGTAAATGATTGGCAAAAAAGGCTACACATTTGGCTGAATGATTCACCCCCATGCGACCTCATAAGCACTTGTAAAAGAGGTGATAACATTCTAAGTTCAAGTAGCTTTGCTTGCAAACTCAGTCGAGTGGATTTGAAGCAGGTCAAAAGGTACAGACAGTAGGTAGTCTTGTCTCCGTCATATGAGAATGACTATCTGTGTATGGCGTATTACTCAGCTATGTAACCTAGTTGCATCATTAAACTTGAATAACTGGTCTGGGGTTGGGCAAGTAATAACCTAACCGTTACAAATACACAGGCCTTAGGCTACCATATAAAGTACATAGGACGCGTGTTTCAAAAAGCACAAAGCAAATGTTAGCAGACTTCTGATCCATACTAAGTTAACATAATCTTATGATACACTATTTAGTTGCAAGGGGCCTAGTCAATAAGGCAGCCACAGAAACGCTGTGAGTAAGAAGTGAATCGGTTTGTGTACAGTGGAGATGACCTCATTGAAGAACTGCTGGGTGCGGCGCAGGATGTGCTTGAGCTCCGTCAACTCCAGGAAGTTCTTCTTCAGGGCCTCTTGGTTGGTGTTGATCTCTTTCAGTTCATTCTCCAGCTTCTCAAAAGTGGCCTATAGAGACAGAGGGTGATGGGGGAGTTAGTGAGCTGGGGACATGGTGAGTTGAGCACTTTGTAACTGGAGTGGATTCTTAGACACGAGTGAGAGAACGGGGAGAATTTACCTCCAGGTCAATCATGTCCCTAGGGAGGGGGACCTCTGGGTTCTCTCCTGTGTCCACCATTGGAATGTTGGCTTTCTTGATCTCCTTCTCCACAAACCCTGTGAGAGAGCGAGATGACTGGGTCTGATTAGGGGTAACTAAAGGCAGTGATACTGTTGTAAATATGGGGGAGTATAATGCGTGAAGCAATGGGTTAAACACTTGAGCTCACTCACGCAGTTTGCGGTCCATCTCCTCACATCGACGCACTTCATTGACAAACTTGCGCTGGAACACGTTTACGTCTGGGTTCAACTGTAATGCAAACATATCAACTATTCAAAACCTTTGCCATCGCAGGGATAAAAATGACTTCAATCCATTTGCCATTTTCTGTCAATTAGAGACAAACATTGCGTTGTAACACTAAGATGTATTCAAAGAAATTGTAGCTTAGGCTACTTCTATAAAAATATTTGTGAAACTGCAATAACTCATCCAGGAAACCTCAGTGTGAAAACAGCATATCTTCTGAAAGCAATGCTGACACCAGTTAGATATCATATGGTCTTATGAATGAGGAGAGGTAGTACAACCAAATAAAGGGTATAATAACACATACTGGGTACAACAGCTAGTCCCTTCCAGTGTTTTCCCTAGGATTTTTTTCAGAAAGTGTGGCAAAGTTAGTGTGGGGGGTAAGGAGGTTGTCCTTATGCTGGGGTAGTGTGGGGGCATGCACCCCCGTGAGTATTTTTTGGGGAGAACGACTGTGAGAAGGTCACTTCTGGTGACTTTTTAAAAAGGACATTCTACTCCAAAATGCATGAAAGTTAAATTATGTTGACACCATCTGAAATAAAAATTCCCTTTAAAAGCATTATAGACTAACTGATGCAGCATAGCAGCTTCAAATAAATAGGCTGAAGCATGGCATTGCCCATCTGTATTTACCTCATTGAAAACCCCCAAAGACTCAATGAGTCAAATGCTACAAATATACACTGAGTGTACAAAAAATGAGGAACACCTGCTCTTTCCATGACATACACTGACCAGGTGAATGCTATGATCCCTTATTGATGCCACCTGTTAAATCCACTTCAAATCAGTGTAGATGAAGTGGAGGAGACAGGCTAAAGAAGGATTTTTAAGCCTTGAGACAATGGAATATGGACTGTATGTGTGCAATTCACACGTTGAATGGGCAAGACAAAATATTTAAGTGCCTTTGAACGGGGTATGGTAGTAGGTGCCAGCCACACCGGTTTGAGTGTCAAGAACTGCAAAGCTGTGGAGTTTCACGCTCAACAATTTCCCGTGTGTATCAAGAATGGTCCACCACCCAAAGGACATCCAGCCAACTTGACACAACTGTGGGAAGCATTGGAGTCAACATTGCCCAGCATCCATGTGGAATGCTTTTGACAACTTGTAGAGTCCATGCCCCGACGAATTGAGGCTGTTCAGAGGGCAAAAGGGGGTGCAACTCAATATTAGGAAGGTGTTCCTAATGTTTTGTACACTGTGTACATCATAACTTGTCACTCCAGGGTTTCTTCTGGAACAACAGGTGGCCAATTTAAAGTTAATTTTCCTGCAATTCCACGCCATGACATTTGGTTTTATTTATTGGAAATTCTCCCTGTCTATTTTTTATTTTGGTGATTGTTAGTTCTCAAATATGATCTTATAAAAAAAAAATGTATAGGTCCATTATATTTTCTACATACTTTTTCTGGTTTTAGTCATTTATGTTTAAACTGAAGACGTTTCACCATCCCAAAAATGTATTATAATAATACATTTTTTGAGTGGCGGCAACAATTTAGCAGCGGCGGCCCGCAGCTGCTAAATGAATATATGGGAAATACTGCCTTTGTTTGTTTCCCCCACCCCATATGATCCCTTCTTTCCCATGCTCAGCCTGAAGTGTCAACTATGTGCACATGATAAAAATGTTGCAGACGCAAAGGTATGTGCTTTCACAACCATCTGACTGATGTTACTACAACAGACTACCATATTCATCTACCTCCTTCCTGAGTATGTCCTTTGTTAACAGCCATACATTACACTGTTCTAGACCTATATAGCCTGCAAATGGAAGGAATGAGATGCCACCCATTGACAGACAGAATAGCCCTCAAAATAAGAAAATAAGTGTTAATAATCATTGAGTCTAGCTCCAGAGAGCATCACAATGAGGAAGGGAAGAAGAGAAGCCTGGACGACTCACATCACGGAATTGCACCATTCCGATCTCTCCCAATTCGCTGACGCAGCAGTAGGCAGACTCTGATTGGAGGTAGAGCTGGGCCAGGGTCATCTCCTCACTTCTGAATAGTTCCCCCATGGTGGCGTAGTGGGGTGCACCTGCTCAGCACAGCGATCCTCCTGGATATCTAGCTAGGGACAAAGATATTGAAAACATCACCTACACAGTAAACAGGAGAAGCTGAGTTCTACCAGAAGGGATGAGCCTCCAATGTTTTCAAAAAGACAGCCAACTGAGTATACATAGGCCTACATTGCCAACAGAGTTCCCTTGTGTTGTTTCCTTTAACACAACAATAGCCTTAACTTTTTGACTTGAAGTGTAATTTCAGAGAAAAAGATTAGCATAGACCTGCACCCTCTTCTAATCTGTGTGTTGTAAGGATGACCCTAATTGTACAGCAGTAATGAACAGTCTGTATTAATGGTGTGATAGTTTACACTTGAGCAAGGAGCAGGATGTGACCGAAAAAATCTGACATCTAGCCCCCATAATCATTGCAGGAATTCAGATTGGCTCATTAGTCATTATTTTGTCATGAAACTGGGTAGCCACTATAATACCTCTAAAAGTACCATCATATGTGACAGTAGATCCTCATTGAGTTTCATCTTGTACAATCAATGACAGATTTTCTAGCCAAGCCAAGGTTTTGAGTTTCTCAGTCTAGGGTGCAAACTGACTCAGGACAGACAACAGGTTTTCACACAATATTAATTAGAAGTAAGTTAAACACACATATTCAGATGTTCTTGAAGTGCAAATGCCTCGAGTGCCATAACAGGTTTAGTTAGCGAGCTATGGATTAAGCCGCATCATATGACCTGCTGTACCAGTCAAGCAGGACTAAATCTTCAATATTAAAACACTATAACTACAACGGTTGATCAACTAGTGGGGATACATTTAGCAAACTATTTCGTTAAAGTCCATGCAAGAGGAGCTCTAGAGTAGGATCACTGCTTATTTAGCATATCTGCATGAACATTTTTTGACAGCTCGAGCCAGGCAGTGAGTCTGATCAGCTGTCAAAACACACTAAAAACACTACTCGTTAACTAGCTACACAATAACAAAGCAGTTCCCTCTAAAATTCGCTAGCCAACGGTAGAATTAATTGTCAGCGTATATCGACGACGCAAAGCCGATATGCGCGGACAATTAATTGTACCGCTGGCTAACTGAGCTAACTAACATTACTAGCAAGCTAGCTAACTAGTTAGCCATGGCGCAGGCGAAGCACTTATTGGACCTGGGCAAACTTTCTGGTAACGTACGCTGGCTAACGCTGTTCAGCAAAAACAACAATGAGTACAAAATGGCTAGCTAATGTTCTTATTCGACTGACACTCAGGTTATTTAGCTATGTGACGTCTATTGACAGAAAGCTAGATAATCTTAAACCATAGCAAGTTAAAGCTAGCAAGCTACAGTAGCTCGCTAAGACTGAGTGAGGTGGATGTCACTGAATCATCCGTAACGTTTGCTTTACTAGCTAACTAGCTACCGGAAAACCCATATTTTGGAAACAATGCTGGTATTGAACAGCGAATACTGTCACCAAAACATCAATTTCTTACTATTGTTGTAGCTAGCTACTAGTCTTCTGCTCCCCAGTTTTCAACGCTGTTCGCAACCCTGTTCCACACACAACGCTCAACGAAATGTCAGCTGACCAGCCTTCATAATCAGAGGCTATCTCCTCACGTGACTGAGAATGCAGAACGGTGATGATCATGATGACGCACACCTCAACTCATACAGTACCAGTCAAAAGTTTGGACACACCTACTCATTCAAGGGTTTTTCTTTATTTTTTCTATTTTCTACATTGTAGAATAATAGTGAAGACATCAAAACTATAAAATAACACATGGAATCATGTAGTAACCCAAAAAGTGTTAAACAAATCAAAATATATTTTATATTTGAGATTCTTCAAATAGCCACCCTTTGCCTTGATGACAGCTTTGCACACTCTTGGCATTCTCTCAACCAGCTTCACCTGGAATGCTTTTCCAACAGTCTTGAAGGAGTTCCCACATATGCTGAGCACTTGTTGGCTGCTTTTTCCTTCACTCTGCTGTCCGACTCATCCAAAACCATCTCAATTGGGTTGAGGTCAGGGGATTGTGGAGGCCAGGTCATCTGATGCAGCACTCCATCACTCTCCTTCTTGGTAAAATAGCTCTTACACAGCCTGGAGGTGGGTTGGGTCATTGTCCTTTTGAAAAATAAATGATAGTCCCACTAAGCCCAAACCAGATGGGATGGCGTATTACTGCAGAATGCTGTGGTAGCCATAGTGGTTAAGTGTGCCATGAATTCTAAATAAATCCCAGACAGTGTCACCAGCAAAGCACCCCCACACCATAACACCTCCTCCTCCATGCTTTACGGTGGGACCTACACATGCGGAGATCATCTGTTCACCCACACCGCGTCTCACAAAGACACGGCGTTTGGAACCAAAAATCTCCAATTTGGACTCCAGACCAAAGGACACATTTCAACCGGTCTAATGTCCATTGTTCGTGTTTCTTGGCCTAAGTAGGTCTCTTCTTCTTATTGGTGTCCTTTAGTAGTGGTTTCTTTGCAGCAATTCGACCATGAAGGCCTGATTCACACAGTCCCGTCTGAACAGTTGATGTTGAGATGTGTCTGTTACTTGAACTCTGTTGAAGCATTTATTTGGGCTGCAATTTCTGAGGCTGGTAACTCTAATTAACTTATCCTCTGCAGCAGAGGTAAATCTGGGTCTTCTATTCCTGTAACGGTCCTCATCAGGGCCTGTTTCATCATAGCGCTTGATGGTTTTTGCGACTGCGATTTGCCACAAACATAACACTTTGTATTCAGGACAAAAAGTGTATTGTTTTGGAAATGTGTCTTGCAGTATTACTTTAGTGCCTTGTTGCAAACAGGATGCATGTTTTGGAATATTTTTATTCCGTACAGGCTTCCTTCTTTTCACTCTGTCAATTAGGTTAGTATTGTGAAGTAACTACAATGTTGTTGATCCATCCTCAGTTTTCTCCTATCACAGCCATTCAACAATGTAACTGTTTGAAAGTCACCATTGGCCTCATGGTGAAATCCCTAAGCGGTTTCCTTCCTCTCCGGCAACTGAGTTAGGAAGGACACCTGTATCTCTGTAGTGACTGGGTGTATTGATACACCATCCAAAGTGTAATTATTAACTTCACCATTCTCAAAGGGATATTAAATGTCTGCTTTATTTTAAAAAAAATTACCAATCTACCAATTGGTGTCCTTCTTTGCAAAGCATCAGAAAACTTCCCTGGTCTTTGTGGTTGAGGGACCTTACATATACAGTTGAAGTCAGAAGTTTACATACAGTACACCTTAGCCAAATACATTTCAAACTCAGTTTTTCACAATTCCTGACATTTAATCCTCGTAAAGATTCCCTGTCTTAGGTCAGTTAGGATCACCACTTTATTTGAAGGATGTGAAATGTCAGAATAATAGTAGAGAGAATGATTTATTTCAGCTTTTATTTATTTCATCACATTCCCAGTGGGTCAGACGTTTACATACACTCAATTAGTATTTGGTAGCGTTGCCTTTAAATTATTTAACTTGGGTCGAAAATCAAAACTGATGTCTTGAGATGTTGCTTCAATATATCCACATAATTTTCATTCTTCATGATGCCATCTATTTTGTGAAGTGCACCAGTCCCTCCTGCAGCAAAGCACCCCCACAGCATGATGCTGCCACCCCTGTGATTCACAGTTTGGATGGTGTTCTTCGGCTTGCAAGCAACCCCCTTTTTCCTCCAAACATAACAATGGTCATTATGGCCAAACAGTTCTATTTTTATTTCATCAGACCAGAGGACATTTCTCCAAAAAGTACGATCTTTGTCCCCATGTGCAGTTGCAAACCGTAGTCTGGCTTTTTTATGCCGGTTTTGGAGCAGTGGCTTCTTCCTTGCTGAGCAGCCTTTCAGGTTATGTCGACATTGGACTCGTTTTACTGTGGATATGGATACTTTTGTACCTGTTTCCTCCAGCATCTTCACAAGGTCCTTCGCTGTTGTTCTGGGATTGATTTGCACTTTTCGCACCAAAGTACGTTCATCTCTAGGAGACAGAACGCATCTCCTTCCTGAGTGGTATGACGGCTGCGTGGTCCCATGGTGTTTATACTTGCATACTATTGTTTGTACAGATGAACGTGGTACCTTCAGGCGTTTGGAAATTGCTCCCAGGAATGAACCAGACTTTTCTGAGGTCTTGGCTGATTTCTTTTGATTTTCCCATGATGTCAAGCAAAGAGGCACTGAGTTTGAAGGTAGGCCTTGAAATACATCCACAGGTACACCTCAAATTGACTCAAATGATGTCAATTAGCCTATCAGAAGCTTCTAAAGCCATGACATCATTTTCTGGAATTTTCCAAGCTGTTTAAAGGCACAGTCAATTTAGTATATGTAAACTTCTGACCCACTGGAATTGTGATACAGTTAATTCTAAGTGAAATAATCTGTCTGTAAACAATTGTTGGAAAAATTATTTGTGTCATGCACAAAGTATATGTCCTAACCAACTTGCCAAAACTATAGTTTGTTAACAAGAAATGTGTGGAGTGGTTGAAAAAACAAGTTTTAATGACTCCAACCTAAGTGTATGTAAACTTCTGACTTCAACTGTAATTGTATGTGTGGGGTTCAGAGATGTTGAGGTAGTCATTCAAAAATCATGTTAAACACTATTATTGTCCATGCAACTTATTATGTGATTTGTTAAGCACATTTTTACTCCTGAACTTATTTAGGCTTGCTATAACAAAGGGGTTGAATACTTATTGACTCAAGACATTTCAGCTTTTCATTTTTTATTAATTTGTAAAAATGTCAAAAAACATAAACCTACTTTGCATTATGGGTATTGTGTGTAGGCCAGTGACCAAAAAAATCTCAATTTAATCAATTTTAAATTCAGGCTGTAACACAACAACATTTGGAAAAAGTCAAGGGGTGTGAATACTTTCTGAAGGCACTGTATCTGACCATGAACCAGAGTTTAGGGGCAAACAGAGCCATGTATTTATTATAAATATATAGCTCTGGGGGCAACTATACCAACTCCTAATAGTGTGTTTGATTGTGATGTGGCCCTCAATTGAATAAGTGCACTTAGAAGACTAGATACTCATAGATTTCCTTTTCTCCCTCAACAGCTTGTTGCTAGAGTGTGTAGATGGGCCTGTCCTGTGTGAGTAAGGTTGTCTCCGGTGTGCCCATACATGTGAGATTGCTGGCCTGCCTAATTGTGACTGGTCAAAAAAATTACCGCGGACCCTGTAATGAAGAAAATGTATATTTGGAATGGCCATTAACAGGAATGGCCATAAAAGTAAAGTTGAGTTACTGACTAGTATTGACCTGGCAAGAATGTGTTTGCTTACTGTCATTGGCATTGGTTGCTGAAAAATGACATTGTACAACTACACAATGTGGAGCGCCCATGAGGAAAATATGCCTTCTGCTGGAGATCTAAACAACAGCGTAAATCACCATCCTTTGCCTCCTCTTTATGCAAGACATGTAGGATCCCAAAAAAGAGAGTCCATATATTTCTATAAGGAGACGATATTACGGTGCGGTCGGTTTGGTGTGTCTACCACCGCCTACAGCAGAAACATAAATAACACTTGGACAAATACAGCAGATAAAAGTCTCATTAGTGTGTGTGTAAATAAAACATCCTTATTTTTTATTTAGCTGCTAATGTGGCTATCATAAAGATCCTCTGTAGCTCAATTGGTAGAGCATAGCGCTTGTAACGCCAGGCTAGTGGGTTTGATCCCCGGGACCACCCATACGTAAAAATGTATACACACATGACTGTAAGTCGCTTTGGATAAAAGCGTCTGCTAAATGGCATATATTATTATATTATGATGATCTGGACGAGACTGCCGAATCAAGGCAAAGGTAAGAATCTCTGGATTAACTATCTAATGCTAGCAATGAATAAATTGACAATTCTGTGAACTGTCTTGTGCAAGTTTTAAATAGACACGATACCTGTTAGCAAAGGTGTCAGCTAGAGATGGCATGCAGGAGCTTGCAGGGATTTGTAGTGTAGCATGATGTCTATTTAGCATTTTCAAATCTGTGAATAAATAGAGCCAAATTGTCACGATCGTTACAGGAAGCGGACCAAGGCGCAGCGTGATATGCGTACATCTTTTAATGAGTACTTTTCAACAATAACAAAACGATACGTGAAGTCCTAAGGTTAACAAAACACAAACCTCTCCGGAACAAGATCCCACAAATGACAAGTGCAAAACAGGCTGCCTAAGTATGGTTCCCAATCAGAGACAACAAGCCACAGCTGCCTCTGATTGGGAACCACCCCGGCCAACATAGAAACACATGAACTAGAACAAGAACATAGAACACTAAACATAGAAACTAACACCCTGGCTCAACATATAAGAGTCCCCAGAGCCAGGGCGTGACACAAATATATTGTAAAAGTCACCTTGTCCAAGAGAGATTTACATGGTTATCAAAACGTCATGCCAGGTTTCTAAAATTCCCTATGGGAAAAATGAATGGTTGGAAAAACGATTGGAACCATTTCCCTGTTTGACCGCTAGGTTTTATGGGTATTATGACACCTCCACTGTGGGGCTCTATTCCCA